AATAAAATATATATGTCTTTATATATACTATACTATTTTGCTATACTATTTTGTAATATATCTGAGTATGGATATTATTAACTAATATTAGCTATATTAACCAACACTAATTGTTATTTGCTTGCTTATAAGTTTTTATCACCTGCATCATTTCATCATATATAACAATGATGTAAATATAAAAAAATACATATTTCATATGCTCTATATCGTCTATTCGGGTTTACAGTTTGGATGATACTTAAACAAATGCAGGAAAAGGCTAATAAGCTCTATGTTTCTCTGCCTCTCTCTCTCTCTTTCTCTCTCTCTCTCTACAATTGCAGCTCAACTCAAAAGTATAAAATGTTGTTTGGAGCATATTTTAAGCTCTGCCCTATCGAGGCTTTTAGCTTCTGCAGTAGCAATATTTTCATTTTGGCGAGCGAGAAAGTGCTTAGTCCTTCAGCCTTTGCTGTCACGTTTCACATAAGTCTGCAGTTTTCTAATCTTTATAGTTCAACGTTTCCAGAGTTGTGCGCTTAAGTGTGCAATTTATATGTAAAGCTGCTTAAAAAAAAAATATATATATCAAGCTCTTTCTCTGTGTCTCTCTGTCTCTCTGTCTCTCTGTCTATCGCACTCTCACTTTTTCTCTCTTGAGTCAATTTTCGTAGGACATATTTATGAAGGCAACTTAACCAATTAGTAGCCCAATTAGGCAAGCAAGACCGTTGGAGACGAATAATTCTTTGGTCGCCTTTAATACCCTGTGAGTGCGAAAGCAAATGGGGTAGTTTATACGAAAGGGTTGTGAAATTAATATTAGCGACATTTAATTAGTTATAATATATGTATATAAGTATATATGAATTCCCATTCTTATAATTTGTGCTTTCATGTATTATCTGCGACTGTTATAGTTAAGAGTTGGCTTGTGCTATTGATGTATGATTAAATCTTATATATATAATTGGCAATTTTCTGTCATTATCTCTAGATTAGATATCTTCTAATATAATCTAATTAGATATGCTCATCTCTGAAAACATTTACATTCCATGTTGTCTTTAAAGTATTTTCCATTTGGGCTTTCGTGCAATATAAATCTCGTAATCAATCACGTCCAAAATCAATTTCGTCTTTTTCCAAGACCCTAATTCATAAACAGAAACAGCAATAGCAACAACAGCAATAGCAGCAGAAAAGGTTTTCTGACCTTTCCCACATGTTTAGCAAATGCGACTGTCTGGCTCCTGAACGTCGCAATACGAATTTTTTTCGGCAACTTGCAACAAACAAAGGCCACTGGAGCATGCACTTCATGAATAATGTGAAAGCTTCGTCTCAATTTTATCTGAGAGGGCGACATTACAAGACATTAAAGAGAAAGAGAGAGAGAGAGAGGCTGTGCCATAAATGTTGCGGGGTATTCAGCAGCATGTTGCCAACATTGCACTGCTTAGTCATTAACGAGAGTGAGAGAGAAGGCTGTACCATAAATGTTGCGGGTCCTTAGCAACATGCTGCTGCTTGCACTGCTTCGACTGCCTGCGATGTTGCTGCAACATTCGCTGCCTAGCAGCATCTGTCGCACTTTGTTATTGATTTCTCGCTTCAGTTGTCATTGAGCTAATAGAGTTTTGTATGCACGAATAATTAGATAATTTATCTAGGCTTTAATAATAGAATGTAAATAGCTAAAAATGTCTATTCAAATGATTAACAGTAGTCAGAACAAAAGAGCTTACATGCGATGCAACAAGATATATAAATAACTGAATCAAGATATATATAAATATATTATTTTACATAAATTTTACAAATTCATAAAATCGAACTGCACCAAATATAGAATATAAAGCACGCAAGTGACAATCATGCGAAAGCCCATTGCATTGTTAACACGAAACAAGCCGCAATAATTAAATCTGGGACGTCGATGTGTGCAAAATAAAGCAAAGTTAGTGATCTGTAAAAAATACTTAAAATTATTTACATTTTCTATAAAACAGCTGATGTTACTCACACTCCGATCTAGCCATGAATCAGCAGTCGATCTATCATTGAAGAGCCTCAAATTGATTGAGGTCTCTTCGGCTGCGCGTTCAGTCAGCTCGCAGACGGCGATATTTAGCCAAAAGTCCAAGACGTTAATGGCAAGGGCCTGGCTGAAGTTCAAGACCAAAGCCAAAGTCAGCGTCTTTTTCAGGCTGATGCTATAGACGAGCATATAGAATATGGATGTGATATTGATACTCAGCAGGCACAGCATGAACAAAATCATTTGATAGCTGTAAATGGAGGCCAATCGAGTGCTGAGCGCTACGAGGCGACTGTAAATCCCCTGAAGATCGTGAATGCGTCTAAATTTGATCTTCTGTTGTCTTGCCAGCACTCGTAGCTCCCGATTGATGAGCCAAATCGAACGATATATATAGAGCACGGCCAGATGGAAATGCATTCCCAGCAGCAGGATACTCAGCTGATTCGCCATAGTAGCCGCCAGACCCAGGAAAAATTTGTAGCTGATGGGCGTATTGAATCCGAGTGTGAGAAACAACATCGAAATGAGCTCCAACCAGATTGTGAGGCTCTTATAGATAACATTATTATCAAAGTTTGAGCAATCCA